CTCCTTTTATGTAAAGAAATACTTGTGTCAGGCAGGAGATCCTACTCTCTCTTACAAAGCCAGTATGCGAAACATGGCTAAAAAACAATAATAAGTTTAGGCAAAAACTTCAAAAGAATAAATTATTGTAGCCACTGTTACATTGTATTAAGAAACTGATACCGATACATTTAAGGCAATAAACATGATTTTTATATTTTTTTATACTCGTTGGTTTAGGATAGGTACTGTTGACCCTGGCCTTCTTTAAAACGGCCCCAATAGGAAATTTTCACTCTTTTTTTTTAAACACTTCCCTAGCCGCTAGATAGATGGCGCTGATCTTGGTACGTTACTGCAGGAAACGGAACGTCACTTAATTTTATCTTTATTTGGATGTACGAGATAGTAAAACGAAACGTAACTTAGTATGTCACTGTCACATCGCTTGCATCATTATCTATGGCTTGCATCAAAGCCAACAAAAGAAAAATATGACTAGAAATAATCTGTTCTGTCAATGTAGAATGTCGAAAAATAATGTTATTTCCTTTTCTCTCAAATGATTTCTGTAAGGAGATTGAGATGAAATATTGTCTGTCAGATCCCTTTAATTTTCGAACGCGACTGTTTCGCCATTTTATGGTGCCAACAATTTATGGTACGTCAAGTGTCAAAGTCTTGTAAACAGAGTGTGATTTATTCGTTTTTTTTTTTAGTGACATAATACATAATTAAGGAAATGACATCATGCCTGGTTGTTCTTTAATACAGTGCGGCGTGCGTCGGAATAAAAATCGCCCTGAAAATAGTTTGCACACGTAAGTACACAAATCTGCTATTTTACTCGAACTTTATAAGATAACATGTAATAAAAAGCCACGAGCTGCTATTTTTCGCTAAATAGCAGCAAACTATAAACAATTCTTTCCCCAATATATCATTAATTTCTTTATTTCTGCCGATAATGATTTCATACAAACTGGTCGTCGGCTAGGGTTGGGGTAGTACATGAAGTCACGGTATCGATATATTTTGCCAGAATTCGTAAGAATGAAAGGAGATAATGAATCTTGAGAGTTCAATTCAGAAAGTTATAATGTGCCAAAGTAACAACAAAAACTTAGATCTTTAAATTATTTTTATATACTTGTTTTTTTTTTACAGATAACAAAAAATTAAGTTAGAAGAAGGAAATGGCTTGATATTATTGGCACCGAAAATATAAATCCACGTCATGGACAAAATATTTACATGCTCCCTGTATTTTGGTGTCGAGTCTTATAATAACAGAACTCTGGATAAATTATGCCTACGTGAAGAAACCTTGCCAACCCCTTTTTGGTAAAAGCTAAGGAAAATGATAGGTCTGTTTTGACTGAGCAGCAACAGGAACAAAGTGGAAGGAAAAGGAAAAATTCTGGAATACCACAAAAAATTCAACCAGTGTTTTATTAAGATAAATTATTATTTTTGGTTTTTGTTTGATTATTATTATTATTTTTTACCCCGACAACTTGTTTTTCTTTTTAACCATTTATTTACTATACACAAAAAACAGTGAATGAAAATTCACAACAGCATAAGCATATTACAGTAGTAAGGTACACAAAAAATATCACAACTGCTTAGGCATAATGCCCGTCGTAACCATCATCATCTTCCTACCCTTATCCCAATAAGGCAGTTGGCAGCTACCTACCAACTATCGATATCGATTTTTGGGTCCAAAATGATTACAACCCTACAGAAATCCGCCATTTTATGAGTCCAACATTGTTTAGGTATTCACGCACATTCAGAGGGTACAGCCAGTCCATAGGTTTGTAATGTCTTTGAAAAATATGTATTTTTTCGGCTTCTGAGAACGCTATCACGAAACCAACGAACAAGGGATCAAAGCACAGACCGCACGACCGCACAGACCAACGAAAGTGTCAGTGCATTTTTTTTTGCAATTTTACGGGCTTTGGAATTATGTAACGTAGTAAGTTCAACGCCATCTATCGATACCTTAGAATACTATTTTTTTTTTCTTTTTCCAAAAATAAAACCTCCTATTAGATCAATGTTCGTTCGTCTAGGTCTTCCCCTTCCAACGTTACCATTCTAACTTCCCCTTCAAACTTTTCTTCGAAATATAAAAATATTGGAAAAGTGTGTCACTTTGTATGGGAAGTCCAAATTTTTTTTTTTTCATATTTCGAAGAAAAGTTTCTAACAAAAGTTGTTCAGTTTTGTGAGTAAAAAGAGATTTGTACTTATAATTAAATGTAACCATTACTTGTCACGTTAGGGCTAGCGCGAACTGGTGACTTTTGTCAGCAGCATGACAAAAAAGTTTTTGTCGCTGTCACGTCACGCCTCTAAAGCGAGGTGCGCTCACGAATGGTGACAGTGACAATTTTTCTTTTGAAAAGCGTCATTTGTCGAAATGGATTTCGAAGAGACGGTCGTCATCTGTGAGCTTATGAGACGGAAATTTAAAGAGAAAAAAAGCGAAAAGAATACTTAATACATATACGACTGATTTTATCTCATGCTTTAATTTTCAAATTAGAATCTGAATACTCTTTTAAACTTTTTATCGTAAAGTAAGCAAGCTTGCCCAGTGACCTTGTCCAGTGACAGGAAGAGGTATAGTTGTCGTATATTTTTTTGTCTGTTGCATTGTCCTTCATTCAAATATATAACTACCATCCGTGTAACAACTAGAAAAAAAATCCCCATAGTAACTTCAAACGCGTATATCTCTGTTCCAGTGACAGGTAGAGGTATAATTGTTGTATATTTTTTTGTCTGTTGCATTGTTCTCTACTCAAATATATAAGTACCATCCGTGTAACACCTAGAAAAAGATCCCCATAGTAACTTCAAACGCGTATATCTCTGTTCCAGTGACAGGTAGAGGTATAGTTGTCTTATTTTTTTGTTTGTTGCATTGTCTTCTACTCAAATATATAAGTACCATCCGTGTAACACCTATAAAAAAAAGATCCCCATAGTAACTTCAAACGCGTATATCTCTGTTCCAGTGACAGGTAGAGGTATAGTTGTCGTATATTTTTTGTTTGTTGCATTGACCTCTACTCAAATATATAAGTGTTATCCGTGTAACACCTAGAAAAAAAAGACGCCACTAGCATTGCCTTTTCCGTAATCCATTTCGACAAATGACGCTTTAAAAAAAAATTGTCACTGTCACCTTTCGTGAGCGCACCTCGCTTTGGAGGCGTGACGGGGTCCAGATTATAACATCGAAGGTCGTTACATGGAATGTCGGAACATCGACAACGTTGCATCGAAAGGTCGCCACATCGAATGGTCGTCACATCGAATGGTCGCCACATCGAAAGGCCGCCACATCGAATGGTCGCCACATCGAAAGGCCGCCGCATCGAACGGTCGTCACATCGAAAAGTCGCTACATCGAAAGACCGCTACATCGAATGTGCATTACATTGAAGGTCGCCATGCATGACGAATGTTTCTGCATCGTATAATGCTGTATTGAATGTTCCCTTGTCTGGTGAATGGTTCATTGGGTTATAGGGGTTCATCAGGTCATAAAGGTTCATCGGGTCGTAAGGGTTCATCGGGTCGAAAGGATTCATCGGGTAACTAATAAATAACTTTGTAACTTTGTAACTTTGACTTTGACAGTGACTTCGACAGTGACTTTCACAGTGACTTAGATTGTGACTTTGACAGTGAATCTGACAGTGACTTTGACATTAACTTTGACAGTGACTTTGACAGTGCCTTTGACAGTGACTTTGACAGTGACTTTGACTTTGACTCTAAACTTGTGACTTGCGACTTAGGACTGTCAAAGTTAATGTCAAAGTCACTGACAGAGTCACTGACAATGTCACTGTCAAAGTCCTTGTCAAAGTCACTTTCAAAGCCACTTTCAAAGGCACTGTCAAAGTCACTGTCAAAGTTAATGTCAAAGTCACTGTCAGATTCACTGTCAAAGTCACAGTCTTAGTCACTGTAAACGTCACTGTCGAAGTCACTGTCAAAGTCAAAGTTACAAAGTTATATATTAGTTACCCGATGAATCCTTTCGACCCGATGAACCCTTACGACCCGATGAACCTTTATGACCCGATGAACCCCTATAACCCAATGAACCATTCACCAGACAAGGGAACATTCAACACAGCATTATACGATGCAGAAACATTCGTCATGCATGGCGACCTTCAATGTAATGCACATTCGATGTGGCGGCCTTTCGATGTAGCGACTTTTCGATGTGACGACCATTCGATGCGGCGGCCTTTCGATGTGGCGACCATTCGATGTGGCGGCCTTTCGATGTGGCGACCATTCGATGTGGCGACCTTTCGATGCAGCGTTGTCGATGTTGCGACATTCCATGTAACGACCTTCGATGTTATAATCTGGACCCGGCGTGACGTGACAGCGACAAAAACTTTTTTGTCATGCTGACAAAAGTCACCAGTGTGCGCTAGCCCAGTCACAATACTGGGTTATTTTTTAGTCAGTGCGCAAACTTTGCAGGGTGTTTCTACTCGTGATTCTGAACAACTTTTATTATGGGACCACCTGCGAAATCGCAAAAAAAAATTTGGATGTTCCATAGAAAAATTCATACCTACTCAGCAAAAATGTATGGAAAAATCAAAAATTTTTTTTAGATTTCGCCGGTGGCCCCATAGTAAAAGTTGTTCAGAATCACGAGTAGAAACACCCTGCAAAGTTTGCGCACTGACTAAAAAATAACCCTGTATATATCACAAAGTATGAATCACACTGTAAAACTGTGATCCTCAGAACCATTAAAATGAAAGACTAACCTTCGTTTCAGTAGACCTCTGATAGGAACTAGATCTGTGATGATGTTGGGATGTGCAATGACGTAGTCGTAGTCACTCAGTTTGATCTCGCCCTCCTGGAAAAGGAAACCAAAAGATATTACAAAACTTGCTGGAAAATAGTAGCAAAATTACTAATTTCCAGTATATGGAGCCCTGCTACCAGGCTAAGATAGAACCGCGGTTGCCTAGTTGGTAGAGGCGTCGGCATTACAGATACCGTTGGTCGCAGGTTCAAATCCTGCCTGCGGTGGAAAATTTTGCAAGTTCTCCAAAAATAACATATCAACTCTCAAATCCTTTAGTCGCTTCTAAGACACCCACGGGAAAGATATGGGGTGATGCTGTTCTAAGGCACCACATGGGAAATGAGATACACACCTGAATCTTCTTGATAACGTCCGAACCACCAGCAGTCGCAGCGCCGGCATCGACGGCTTCTTTGATCAGCTCAGCTCCTGTGAAAGGGACAAAATGACTTTACTTCCATCTACAACGAATACAGCATACCTTATCCATAGTCAATCGAAGTGCCAGAGAAAACACAGGAAATCATTTATTTGATTCATTGCGACTCTGTTACATCTTTTTGACTATTTGCAACAACAAGAAACTAATGGTTGTGATTTTTGTAGCAATCAAAAACATGCCACCATTTTGTCACGTGACTTGTTTCTGGTTGTAAGTAACCAAAAGAAACAATGTTGAAAGTTTGCATGCCTCAATTTAATAGCATTGCTCCTCCTCCTCCTCGCGTCGTAATCCTCATTACTGAGGGTCGTGATTCCCCCGATGGGAAATTATTTTCTCGTTTACGATGCTCTTCCATCGCTGCCTATCTTTGGCAGCATGCAGCGCAACGTGCAGCTTGGTGTCCAGTGCCGAGCGTATTTGGTCAGACCACCTGGTAGGACTGCGACCTCTTGGTCGTTTGCCATCAACTTTCCCGGTGATCATCAGTTGTTCCAGGTTGTGTCCATCTTTTCGCGCGATGTGGCCAAAGAATTCCAGAATCCTTCGTAGACAAATAGTGGAGAGCCTAGTTTTGATGTTGAGCTCATGAAGGATAGAGACATTAGTACGGAGAGCAGTCCACGGGATTTGTAACATTTTTCTCCAGCACCACATCTCGAAAGCGTCAATGCGGTCACGATCAGCCTTTTTCAACGTCCATGTTTCGGCGCCGTAGCTGAATATGGAAAACACGAGAGAGTTGACTAACTTTATCTTTGTCTTACGAGATATATTTCGGTCCTTCCATATTCGCTGTAGCTGTGACATTGCACTTTTGGCCATACCGATACGCCTCCTGACTTCTTTTTCGCAATAGCATTGCTAGCAATAAGGAAATATAAGATTAAATACATGCCTTTACAGAACGCTAGGATGGTGCGCTCCTCATCGCGCGGAAAGAAATGCGGCAGGAGACTCAATTTGGTAAAGTTGTCCACGACGCGATTCTGTACAGAGAAAAACAATAAACAAACAAAAAGCAATAAACATAAAACTGTAAAAAGAAAGTGTTAATTTCAGGGTCCCTTTCTATCTAACTTTCTATGCCCACTGCTGAACTTAGGCCTCTTCTTTATTGCGCCATTCCTTTAGATCCTGTGACGCTGTATTAAATTGGATTCTGACAGAAAAACGAACCATACTTATTCAAGTAGTAAAACCATATGGATGGATAAGTTGTATTCTTATTTAGATTCAAATCTTTAATTTGTTACTCAAAACAGCTTGCACATAAACTTGCTCCAGTCTAAAGATAAGTGAAATTAATCAAATCTAAAATTATGATTTAAATGTAGGCAAATGTGTACCTTTTTCACAGCTTGCATGTTCATATGAATCTGAGCATACACCAAAGCATCAGGCACATTGTACATGGTCGGGTGATGCGTCTCCTGGTGAAGTTTAACAGCTTCCTCCGCCGTGTAGACCACCCAGCGGTAGTACTTGATAGGGAAGACATCATCTTTGGAAACGCCTTTGTATTCGTCATCTATGAAACGCTGCTGGCTTAGCTTTGCTGCCCTGGAAAAGTGTTATTATTTTGCTTGTTAATAATGATTTATTGAAAAAAGTTACTACTGTTGAGATGGCCACTCGCTACATTTGTGAATGTATGGCACTCAGTTTCTCATTGGAGTTTACTAACAAATGGGAAAAGGAGCGCTACACAACTGTCAGCAAATGGCTAGCTCAAGTCATCAAGGTAGGAGGAAAGACACATCCTTGCCTCTTTGACCTATTGCTAGCTATAGCAAAAGAATGAATTGATGTGAAACAGAAAATCTTCAGATCTAGGAAGTAGCAACTTTCACTGTGAATGCTAAATGATATGGTACTTACTAAATGCTTGCAAAGAGTGCCAGTGGCCAGTGTTCTTGCTTTTAATCAGTCTGATAAAGATGAGCAATACAGCAGAAATTAACTGATAGCATACTTATCCTTTCCTCGCTGGTTGTGAGGGATGAACCCAACTTTTGTGACTTCAACCTTCACTTTCTTAGCACGGGCCTTCGCCCTGGTTCCTTTACGGGCTGCATAGTATGTTGTAGCCGTGTGAATTGAGCGCTGAAAAGGCCAAAAATCAGCATAAAGGTTGGAATATAAGTAAAATAAATCTTCATAAACATTTTAGACACTAAAAAATCGTAGGGAAGCTTTGCATTTTGTTCCTAAAGCTCTAAAACCAAGTTATAGTGAGTCAGACTGACTGTTTTTATCCTGAGCCACTAACACAAGTAAATAATACTTAATTTTAGTACTCACGAGACTAGTAGCATTCGTTTTGTATGCAGAAAGAGAATTATTTAGCAGGGAACCTGAAAATATAAACAAAAGTAAGTAAATTAGATCACAGCTGGAAATATTTCCAGTAATATTGAAATGAGTGTCACTGAAAGACACTTACGAAACAAAGTCCCAGCCATCGTATTGTTTGTTATTAAGTTATTTATAATAATAATGATGTTTCAATCTATTTTTATAGCGTAATCGCAAACTTTTATTTTCTCTCTCACATATTTTTTGAGGTTAGAATTGTTTTTTTATTTTCCTACTGTAATGCAACTGCAAGACAAAGGTAAAAAGTTTTGTTCGGCCTTTTCGGAAATATTTTATATTTAAAAAGTTTCAGGGAAGAAAATTATCGACATGCTGGCCCAACTGGCTGATTTTCACCATATTATTGTATTTCCTGAATATTTTTCAGTTATATAATCGAAAATCAGCAAAAAGGTTTTTCAGTTCTGACTTATGGCTGTATATGACTAAAACCCTTTACATTCGTCGTTGAATAAAAAAAAACTAACTGTCTAAGTACTGCAAACCCAGAAAAAAATATAGGAATCTGCAGTGCAGAAATGTATCCAAAGTTTATGGTGTCGATGTCATTGAATTTGTAGCTACCTACGTCACGCTACAACATACATACCTACATGTACATCGACTGCGAGCGCGAATACCTACATGAGCGCATAGGCAAGGCGACATAAGCTTTACCTACAAGCATTTCGCCGTGCACATACCTAAGTCGGAACCTACGCGTGTGACGTCACATACATACAAGCGGCTGAATACCTACTCTACTGCCAGGCAGGCGTGATATCAAGCAAGCGGCAAGCGGCGATCGATCATCAATGCCTACATTCAATAATGCGAACTATGAAGCATATCTACAGCTACAGCTACTAATCTACAAGCAGCACTATCTACGCATACACAACTGGGAAGACGTTAGTTCAACTGAAACTTCGCGCCATTCCACGAGGAACAGCAGATCAGACGTTAGCCAGAAACTTATAGCTGTCCATGGTGGGAGCAGCTGAATATAGACGTTAGTGAGATGAAACTAAGATGGAGCTCTGAAAAGAGCTGTTTCATGTGCATCAGCGCACAGCCTATCAGAAGACACGGCGATCCAGTTGAGCACTCCACTCGTCGAAGATCTTCATCAGCACAGCATCCAGCATCTTCATCTTCACGTCTTCATTGCTTTGGCGCGGCGCGACACGGAGCTGCGCGGACGTCCATCTTCCTCGGCGAGCGGCGACCCCAAAGAAAGCGCGAGGTCATGACCCCGTATTTATAGTTTCGCGGACCGCGAGCCGCGGCCGCGACTCCCCGCCCCCGCGCGCCCCGCGGAATCGCGTATGTGTGCGTTTACGTGTGTGTGTAATTTTAAGTAGTATGTAAGCTCTTTTTGTATATACCTAGTTGCGAACCTTTTGATGTAAATATAGATAGGCATATTTTGTAAATAAATTCATTCCAAAATCTGATCCCGAAATAGTGTTTCTTTACCTCAAGAGCTCCAGTCTTACCTACCTAGTTAGCGGTACTCCCTGCTGGCCACCATAGCCACAGTATCGCTAAAAATTTAAAGGCACCACGCCAACCAAATTTTTTCACGGATTTGACAAGATAAAACAGGAAAAATCATGTCTTTGGTGGAGATCAAGACAGTGACGTATTTGTAACCATTAGTAGGTATGCAGGGCCCATATAGTGTCATATACAAGTAGGTACATGCCGTATGCCGTGTGGTGCCGGCAGAGTAGAATAGCACCACCCCCTCTCTTCCCGTGGGGGTCGTAAGAGGCGACCAAGGGATAAACCCGACCCAAACAGCCAGGGCCAACCGTATGGTGGCGGTAAATCGTCACAAAAGCATTCCCAAGGATGGTTGACGTCTGGTAGGCGGCCGGTCGTAAAATTCAGCCAAATCCTTTTGCAACACGATTTTGCGTTCAACGAAACGTGTTGCGCCGACCCCAAGTAATTGGGATAAGATGATGATACAAGTAGGTACCTACATATCATTAAGTTTATGATTACTTAAAAAAAATCATTGCAGAAGTAGATAAAAGGAAAAATGACTTGTCAGTTAAATTTATTCATTGTCTTCAACTTTCGAAAGACTAGGTAATTACAAAAATCACTGAATATACATAAGGTTGATTCGGATACCTTTCAGTAGGAAGAGAGAATTTATATTTTGTTCTTAAACGTTACTCTATGTGCACCTGTATAAACTGTTTTTAGGGTTCCGTACCTCAAAATGTACAAACGGAACCCTTATGGGATGGGATCACTTTGTTGTCCGTCTGTCTGTCTGCCCCACTGTCTGTCAAGACAAGACCCTTTACCTCAGGAACGCGTAAAGATATCGAGTTGAAATTAAGTATATGGTCGCTAGTAGTTGTAAAAAAATCAAGCTCTTGCCGTTTATTTTGCAAAACGCGTGTT